TATGTGTATGCCCATATATGAGGTATTTGTGGTAGAGATTGGGGGGGAGCATGGTCCTTCTCAAACGAGTTGGTCATATGGTTGGTTCTGGGGTCTGGCAAGAGGGGAGATATTACGTGGTGCATGCGATAATATCCAGTAGTAACAGTTCTGCTTTGGCAAATATGTAACATTCCTGTCACATTAGAACAGTTAAACAAAAGTAAAGCAATAAAAGTGGAAGAAATAAAGTTGAAAATGAAAAAGTAAAAAAAAAATTAACGTGTAGTAGTCTAACTGTGAATTGGCTAGTAAGATCGCAGTGTGGTATTGAGGTTACAAGGGGTGCTGCTGTTTTTAGGGTCCCCATCCCAGAGGGTTGAGGTGTGTTGGGCCTCCCATGGTTCCCAGATCTTTGTAATTGTACAGTTAGTGTTCAATGAGAGGATTGCCATACGTTCGTGTGCATAGTGAAGGTTAATATTGTCTATGAGCGCCTTTTTTGTGGGGCATATGCTGGATTTCCAATTAAGGGCTATAAGTGCTCTAGCCGCAAGGGCAATATGTGAGATCAAGGCTCTCTCATGGAATGTCACTCTGGGGGGGAACTCCAGCTCTAGCTGAAGTGCCGCCACTAGCTCTGCCACCCCGGTCCACAACTGTTTAATTGCCCGACATTCCCACCATATATGGGACATGGTGCCCTTCTCTAGGCCACATCGCCAGCATACCTCTGATGCACTCTCATATATGTAAAACCAAAGCGATGAGTAAGCGCTAAATAACACAATAGAGCAGCAACCCTATAAGGGATTCCCTCAAAAACCCTTAGACATAACACCAAGAAAAAAATAATAAAAGTAAGGGCTGCGCTGAATAAAACTCTGTTTAAAACAAATAGTCCAGATAAAATAAATGAATAAAAAGAGAAAGTCTTATCTTGAGGCAGCTGTTGAGGTCGTATTTTGTAATAATACTTGGTCCAAAACAATTGTCCTTATTGGTATCTTCCTTATGGATCAGCTCGTATGCAAGAGATAAGAGATAAATAGAGAGCCAAATAGTGTAGTATATTCAACAATGGAGAAGATAAAAATGTAAAAATCTAGAATGCAAACTCACATATAAAAGAGCTGTAACCCGCTCTGGTGTAGAAGGCATACAGCGGTTTAATCCCCGCTTTTGGGATATAAATAGAGTTTCCTTCGTCTATTTACTCCGTCCTTGGTATGGTAAGCACTCGTTAAAAAAGAAACAGCCAATAGTGTTCTCTGGATAAGAAACTTTAGGATAAAATTAGATAATAAAAATAGGTACTCACAAGGTAGGAGCAGATCAACTGCTCCTTGTAGTTAGCGCTGGTGGTATAATCCCCACCTAGGATTAGTTGGAGTCCAGGTACGATAAAAGGATGCCAGGTAAATAGTGAATGTGTGTTAAAAGATAAGTGGTACAATAAAAGTTACCAAATATACTTTAATATTAAAATTACACAATATAATAACCATAAACCATAAAATATATTTTTTCCCCATATTGATAACGCCGTATTGGTGAAAAATTGTGTAATTTTAATATTAAAGTATATTTGGTAACTTTTACCATGATCTGCTCCTACCTTGTGAGCACCCATTTTTATTATCTTATTTTATCCTAAAGTTTCTTATCCAGAGAACACTATTGGCTGTTTCTTTTTTACCGAGTGCTTACCATACAAAGGACGGAGGAAATAGACGAGGGAAACTCTATTTATATCCCAAAAGCTGGGATTAAACCGCTGTACGCCTTCTACACCAGAGCGGGTTACAGCTCTTTTATATGTGAGTTTGCATTCTAGATTTTTACATTTTTATCTTCTCCATTGTTGAATATACTACACTATTTGGCTCTCTATTTATCTCTTATCTCTTGCATACGAGCTGATCCATAAGGAAGATACCAATAAGGACAATTGTTTTGGACCAAGTATTATTACAAAATACGACCTCAACAGCCGCCTCGAGATAAGACTTTCTCTTTTTATCCATTTATTTTATCTGGACTATTTGTTTTACACAGAGTTTTATTCAGCGCAGCCCTTACTTTTATTACTCTCATATATGTGGGGTAAGGTACCAGCGATAAATAAGCTTGCGGTGAGCCTCTATCAGCGAGTAACACGTGGTAACACCCACTGCGCCACTAGTGTCATGGGGTTCCGGGATCCCAGGGCATTGAGGGCTCTCTAGCAGCCAGAGAGGAGTTTGGGTTTTAGCTGTGATGTCCAGCATGAAGCCAGCAGTAGCCGCGTGTCACTTTCTATAGGAGTGGTATCCCTCTACGTGTTCTAGTATTACACTTTTGAATTGCAGGTATGAGAACGTAAATTTTGATGATGGTTGGAATATTTCCTGCAAGGTCGGGAATGGGATTAGCTCTCCCCTTAGGATCAAGTGTGACAAACTTTTGACTCCCCTGTTTTCCCATTGTCGGATTGAAAGCCATGGAGATATCGCTTTTAGGGCTGCCAGTGGCGCCAATCGGTGAAATTTAGAATGTGAATGTCTCATGTGGAAGGTTGACCATGCATCCAGCAATGATCTTGTGGTTGGGTATAGTAGGGAGTGTGATTGTCTCAGGGCAGGGGGTGTCCACGTGCTATCAGTGAATCCCCTGGCATTTGCTTCCGTTCCATGTCTACCCAGCTTAGCATTCAGTGGGGTGCGTGGAGGTTGATTGCTTGACCTAGTAAAGCCGCTCTGCTATATGCCCATACCTGAGGTACACCCATTCCACCCTCTCGAAATGGTCTCTGTAACACCTCCTTCACTACTCTGGCCCTGCCTCCAAACCAGATAAAATCCATAAACAGTTTTTGTGCCTTCTTGCAGTAGCTTTTCGGGATCTGTATAGGGAGCATTCTGAAAATGTATAGTAATTTAGGTAGTGACATCATCTTAAGGGCATTTATGCGGCCCAGCCACGAGATTCGTACATCTCTCCAACCCCCCAGCTCTTGTCTTAGGGTTGCCAGCATCGGGATATGGTTGTGTTGTATTAGTGTTGCTATTGATTTGGTTATTTTCACTCCTAGGTAAGTTACAAAGTCTTCTCTCCAGTCAAACTGGAAGAGGTTAGCAAGGATCATCTGTTTGCTTTTAGGCAGGGCTCGAGTCCTGCAGGAACGCATGGGAACGGCGTTCCTGCACTTTTTCCAAAGCAGGAACGCCGTTCCCGTTACCTGTCCTGCAGGACCGGCCCTGCTACCTGCACAGAGGGGCCATCACACGCTCTGTTCCCTCTCCAGCTTTAACTCTCGCGAGACCCGCGGCTGTTACCATGGCAACGCTCCGCACAGGCGAGTCTCGCGAGAGTTAGAGCTGGAGAAGGAACACAGCGTGTGATGGCCCCTCTGTGCAGCGGCTGGCTCCCTCCACCGGACCACCAGGCGAAATCCCACACTTTTTTCCCCAGGACTTGACCCCTGCTTTTAGGTATGTTAATAGGTAGCGCCTGTGTTTTGCCCGCGTTAAGTTTGTAGTAGGACACTTTCCCAAAGGTATTCAATAAGTCTATCAGCTGGGGAAGTGACCTTTCTGGACGAGAAAGTGTTAGGATGATATCATCCGCGAAGAGCGAGAGTTTGTGGGCTTGTTCTCCGATTGAAATGCCTGTGATGTCTTGGGATTCTCGAATGAGCTGAGCTAGGGGCTCCAGGCATAAATAAACAAAAGGGGGGACAGGGGACAAAGGGTAAAATGCTATGTGAGCGTTTGTCCTTTTTGCTTCCTGTAGTGCCAGGCGTCTCTTGTGTGGTGAATTCAACCCTTTCATGTTAAGCGAGAAAATGTTAAGCACCATAGCTCTGGAAAGTGTTGTAAGCTGAGACTAAGGGCCTAACAGCCTGTGGTGTACATAGAAAAACATTCATTATCCATTTTCCCATATGCAGCCCACCTCCCACAGAAGACATATTTGCAGACATTGCGTACCAGCCATAGATTGACATTATACATAAGGGAAAAAGGATAAGAAAAGGAAAAAACAAAGCCGAGGCATCTGAGTACAAACCAGGGACAAAAACAATTTGACAGTGTGAACGTGTCACACCGCAGTAGCTCTATATTGAGCCTGGTGAGGGTGTAGGTAATAGGGTAACAAACAGATGTGCAGGCAAAGGCTTTTGCACAGAGTCTCGCCTATTACGGCCTCCTTGAGAGTAACAACGGTCTTGTAACTTCTGCGTTAGTGTTTTCTTTTTTCAAATGTATTTTTTAGAGAACTGAGCAGGAGAAAGAGTAGGATTATCAGTTTGTTAAGAGAGGTAATACTACACCCATTCCGTGGCAGCATGTAGCTCCTGGAGGCGCGCAGGATTGCTGTTTGATAGTACCAAGGTGGCGATTCACTTGGCGGGTGCAACTTTTTGCCAGTCCCCTGTAATTCTGGTAACTGACGGCTCCGGGTCCCCGGCTGGCAAAGTACTTGCTTGGAGCGGAATGTTCCATTGTGTCAGTATTTTCTGACCTTCTTCTGGCGATGCGGCAATCCTGCCTGCTTTGTTCTTGTGGATGATGAGGCGGGTGGGAAATCCCCATTTATAAGGTAATGGTACCAAAGGATCTTCGCTTTGCCAGCGTAGCTGGAGATAGGTCCGCAAAAAGCTGAAGGCCTGCATACCATCCTGCCAGTCATGTATGGTCTCTGGCCGCCTGCATCAGCCTCTCTTTGGTGGCAAAAAAGTGGACACAGACTATGGCATCTCTGGGTGCTGCCGTGGGGATGTTCTGCGGTTTCATGAGCCTGTGAGCCCTGTCTAGCTCCAATTCCTGGGCTGAGGCATCTGACAGCAGGGTTTGGAATAGCTAGGTTAGGTATGGGTTTAAATCTTGTGCCTTAACCTCTTCTGGGATGCCGCGCAGGTGGATGTTATTTCTGCGGGCTCTATCCTCCATGTCAGTAACCTTAGTGTCTAACATCTGAAGTTTTGCAGAGAAGATAGTATAGGCATCAGCCAGACTGTTGTGTGCCTCTATAATCTCCTATGTCTTGTCTTCTAGATGAGCTGTGTGCTCCCCAATTGCTTGAACTTCTTTCCTAATGTCTGCTGCCAGTTTTTGAAAATCTGACCTGATAGTAGTCTTCAGATCTTCCAGCAGCTTAGGAATATTGTTTCCCCCAGCCTGCAGAGCAGTGGCCCGTGAGACTGAGGTTATGTCACTCCGTCCTGACTCACTGTGTTCTGATTCTGAGGTAGGGGAGCGTATCTCTCCAGCGCCATCTTGGATGCGCTTGCCTGGCGAGGAGAAGGCCGTGATCTGCATCGAGGGTGTTTTGCTCTTAGATTTGCGAGTGGTTTTGCTTGCCATGATAGCCTGGGGGTGCAGTCCGTCGGTAGGTGCGTATTTGTGTGCGTTTTCCGTTGTTAGCTGTTTGGAATCAAGCTAAATTGCCGTTTTTTCGGCGGAGCTCTCTGCTTATGCATCCGTCTGCATTCTGGTCTTGGCCACGCCCCCTATCATTATTTTTAATGACTTTTTGGGGGGAGGTGGAATGTCACTTTAATTGCTAATTCCATTCAACGGCTCACATTCGTAAAAGGAGAAAAAAAATTATATTTTTTCATACTGTAGTACTGCATCTCGTACTTCTATAGAATGCACTCTGATCTGTATTGTCCTCCACATCTTTGCAACCTTTATGCAATGTATAAGGCATTAATAAACCAGTAAAAATGTTACATTAGGAAAAAAAGGAGCAACTACTATGTTTAACAATTAACAAATATTAAAACAAACAGAATCATGTAACAAATGTCTGATTAAAAGACTTTGACATTGACAACTTTGTTTTGCAACTGTTTGAAAAAATAAAACATGTTATTAAAAATACAGAAAAGTCCATTGAACGGCGGACAATGCAAACAGAAACAGACAAACTTAATAAATTTAGGGCAAAATAGACGAACTGGAAACATTCATGAGTAGCATTCTGTAGATACAATATTACAAGCAACTAAAACATCTACAACTGATAATTTATCATCCTAGTGTGGATCTTTTATTCCCCACGGTTAAATGCGTGTGCAATCAGAGACATTTTCACCTTCTCACTTTTGCCTCCGGGGAATGGTTGATGCTTTAGCTAAATTGACCTTGGTGTATTTTTCTATTTTTTTTCCTTTCTGTTCTTGCTAGATGCACTTAATTCTGATGTTCTTTATAAAAACACTTTTGCACATTTTTCAACCATTATGTGTTTTTGACAAATACTATCTTTAAGTTGTCACATATTGACCATTTCTGCAATGAACATTGTTCTTCATACATATTGCATAATATATATATATATATATATATATATTATTTTTTATTTATTTTTTATTTATTTTTTTAAACTGCAGTCGTGTGTTATTAATTATAATTGATGTATGTTTATGGTAAAAAACAAATAAAATAAAAAACTCACATTGTTGCACAGTAAAAGAACCAGCCACATTCACATATAAACCAATACAGTGACAATGATCTAATTAATTGCACAAGTACATATACAGTAGGAGGTCTGTGTGCACACAAACAAAGCCAGTGCAAAAAAAATCTTAATATGTGAATTGGTGGAATGTGTACATAGGGAAGTACATAGGTAACAATCTAGGAATTCTAAACATCTGGCTCTTGAGATTAGCCTTTAATACGCATTACACTGCACTGGATTTATAAATGAAAACTGGCTGTGCACAAAAGAACCGTAAAAAAAAAAAAAAAATAGAAGACCTTCATAGATCATCATTTGTAAAACCAACTATAGACAAGCAAACTAAAATTGTCATCATCACCATTTAATGAATTGGAAATATGGTGGGTCTCCATCGATGTGATGTTCTTAATATTCTATAGTCAGAAATAGACATCACTCTTGAATGTTGCTGAACTATTGATTTGAGTTAAAATTTTTCATGATAGGATATTATTATTATTATTTTATTATTTATATAGCGCCAGCAAATTCTGTAGCGCTGTACAATGGGATATAATGAAGGGGCATAGGTAAAACAGAACAATTTGCTAAAAAAAAAAAAAATTCTAATAGTCTGTAACTGTGTGGTTGGTAAGCTTAATACTTAATATTTCTACTTATTCAGTCATGTTCAACATAATTTCTTCAGGGATATCGTAAACATTCAGAGATTTAAATAGGCTGATTAGGTTCACTGCATAAAACCAGCACAATAAAAATGTTTTCACACACTTAATAGCAACCATTTAAGTGTGGAACATAACCAAACAACAAAATATGGTGGAAGAAATCAAGAAATAGTAATGAAAAGTATAGGACCACTCCACACAACAAAATCACTTTAGCTTGCTTATGGGTGAGGAGTATCTTAATTTAAAACCAGTTTATAAAAGTGCAGGTTTCTATGAGAGATCAACACTTTTATAAATCAGGGAACATATCCCTGGCTGTCAGGGTTTGGTCCCACCTTCCATTAGCTCCCCTGCGGTAACAGCAGTGGCAGGCATGCTCTACTTGAGCATGCTTGACTCCTCCTCCCACCCAGACCTCAGATCAGCTCTTCAACTCGATAGACCTCAGACAAGACGTGCACATGTCTATGTACAAGAAGCCTTTGGTTATTTCCCAGAGAAGAGGCTGAAATTCTCTTTCAGAATAAAAAGTGGAGGACTTGCTAAGGCTGTACTTTATAAGATCTGCAGCCCTTGCAAGCTCTTTTAAGATATACCCAAGTTAATACATGTGTGTATGCATTGGGAGTATATCTACTAAACAGTGATTTATTGTTTGCCAGTTGGCAGTGGAGTGTTTCTTTAACCCCTTCCCGATGCTAGACAGAAAATTTCCATAATTTACTAAAGTTAACCCCAGATTGCAGCAATCGTGGGGTAGTTTGAATAACCAACCAGCTAAGCTACTCCAAAATGAAACATGGCTCCAGCGTAAAACTTCAAAGTTAGAAAAAAACGGAATGACTGTGTCTCAAATGTGCCCCTTCAACATCCACATATACCTGGCAAAGGTACATAGATACGGGGGTATTGTTGTACTCAGATGACATAGGTGAGCAACATATGAAATATTATACAGCCATAGCACAGATAAGGTATGCAAAATACACTGCGCAAACTCACTTTGTGTGTCAAAAAGGCAGAAATTACCACTACACTTGGTACAAGCTAGCGGAAGAATGATCCCACACTAAGGTTCTAAATATGCCTTTTGAAATACCCTATGATGTCTTCTTTAATAAATGGTATGCCTTTATTGTGTAGTTGGAATATGTAGCCTGCTAAAGTGCTCCAAAGTGGATCACGGACGCATCAAAACCCTCCATGAAAATTCACACTTAAAAACCTGAACTTATCACGTCTCTTTTACAGCACTGTAACTTCACAAAATAGTGTCTAGGTCATACATTGGGCATATTGTTTTACTCCGAAGATGTAACTGAGCATAACTTGGGGGATATTATGACAGTGGCACATTTCAAGTGTAAGAAATAATCAGCAAAAGTGCAATATATGTATGTTGTATGTATGCAAAAATTTCAATTTTTTTCCCCCTCACCACGAACATTGACATAAATTGGTGAAAAAATGGTGACAAGTCTAGGCACAATATATGCCATATAACATACCCTGTGGTGTCTGCTTTATCAAATGGAAGCCCTTTGTGGGGTTATTTGAACAGTCAAACTGCTATAATACCCCAAAATGAGACATAGGCCCATCATATACATCTATGAAAATTCTAACTGTAGAAACTGAAATAGCCTTGTCTCTTATATGGCATTGTAGCTTCACAGAATAGTGCCAAATGCATACAATGGGTGTATTGTTATACTCAACAGATGTAGCTGAACACAATATGGGGTTCTGTGCAGAAATAGCACACTCCAGCTTTACAAAATACACATTACAAAAACCTTGTTATATGTGTATATGTCATAATAGAGAAAAAACACAGTTTTACTCCAATATTTAGCAATATTTTGTGACCTGTAACTTTCAAAATAAGCTAAAATCCTATACATATTATGTATTTTATAAATCAAGACACATAAATTAATTTATTTTAAATTACCTTTTCTAAGCTGAACATGTTATGCACATGCTATTATTGCCAAAACTGTGAAAAAATTTTTTTGGGGGGGTTTACCTCCATTTTTTGGCATTTGTTTTATAATTAATGAGAATTTATCTATGTATATGTGACATCAAATTAAAGCCCTTTTGGCCCTTTAAAAAACTGTATATAATATGTGTTGGTGCATTAAATGAGAGAGATGCAAATTGCATTTGAACACAAACAGCAAAAATGGCTTGTGTCCTTAAGGGGTTAACTTGTTGTTATATAGTTATGCAGAGGAAATGGTCCTTAGTTAAATAATTGAACAACACACCGTACGTGGGGATTAAATTGCAATAGAATTAAGAATTGGCTCAAAAGAACATCTGTGGTAAGGCTAAATATATATCTTTAAAATTAACTACTCTTTAACAAACTATGATACCCTGAGTATATAGACTCAGTATAGACTGAAGTTATCAAACTCTGATACACTGAGTAAAGAGATATATTCAAATAATAAATGTGTGTTACTCCAGGAAAATTCTGACTGTTTTAGAGTTACAAATTACAAGAGAACATTTCCCTTTATGAGAAAAATTTTTGGAAACCGCTTTGAATTATAGTGGGGGTGTAGTTTTGGATCAACCGTAGAAACGGGAATATGTGAAATATAGATTATCTTGGATTTTTTTTCTCATACTAAATTACCATGACACATAATATACTATATTGCTATGACGAGTCACAAATTCCTATATAAAAGGAGGGAGGTGAGCTCGGAAGCTTAGAGGAATAATCCAAAGTGGAAAGTCACACCATCTTTGACTCTCCTGAAGTCTATACTCTTACTTTTATTTTTATTCTATGTTTAGTTTTCTAGATATGTAAATTAGTTTTTTTCTTTCCCTGTTTGTTACATTTTACGAACTATAACTACTGCAGGTGCATATCATCGTGGAAGCAATGATATTGACATCAACATTACATTTCTACTGATAATCAAAACTCGGCAAAAACACAGGAATGTCATGTTTTCTTTAATCCAAATAAACTACCATCAACAAACAATATTAAATTATTCAAATAAGTTTGATAGTCATTGCCCAAATATTGCAATTATGTTTGATTTACATAATAAAAACTATTCACATAAACTGTTAAGTTTTACTTAAAAATAGAGGATACAAAATGAAAATACCACTGCAATGTATAATATCTCATGATGTTCCATTACAGAGAGGGACATTTATCCCAAAGTGTCTGATCCGTTAGAGAA